CAGATCACTTTTCATATCTACTGATTGGCGTGTGGTTCGATGTCATGGTAAACATAAACAGTAATTTTCCTCAGCAGGACTATGGGAAAAATTCTTTGTTTCCGGCTAGGTAACTGTTGGTTCGTTGGAAAGTTGAAACATGATTCAGGTTGTAATAAACAAAGTTCCTTGACATACGGAAAGCGTGCTGACAGATGCAGGTTCAAAAATTCAAGACTTTTCCTAATTAACTACTGGGTACTATGATTGTTGCGCATCGATCCCTGAGTTTCATACTGTACTGAGCAAACACCGCCGGATTGGGATCAACTTTTTATTGACGTTAAAAATTATATTTATATTCACAGCAAACCTAACACTTAGTAGTTGCTGCCCTGAGACATATGGGAATATATTCTGGGATTCAATGACAATCAACACAAAATCTTATCAGTCGCGAGATGGAAATCCGGCGTGGCTTTCTCATAGCTAGCACAAGCAGAACGAGGGGGAGTGCTTGTCGCTGTGACTGAATAGGGGAAAAATTGTCAAAGAAAAACACTGGTTACCACCAACTTCATAAATCTATATTGACCAACATAACTCAGTACCCTTGTCTCAGAGGACTTTGTACTTAAGAAGTGCTAGACGGAAATTGTTTACAAAAGTGAAAAGAAAATACCTTCCTTTCCCTGTTTCAGCTTCCTAGCTTCAGGCACCCCCTTCCACCAAGCAGGTTAGTCTGCTGCTAACTTCGCGGAATAAAGGGAAATTAACTTAAGATGTTAACGCTGATTTGGTTTTTCTTGTCGCTACAACGCCATTTGTTCTTTGCCTTCGTCCTTCTTCGTCCTAGAGTTCTCCAAGGCTGAGGAATATCTGGGAGAAAGAGTTATGCTTCGAGTCCAGTGTTCACCCGTCCAACCCTAGACAAAATATTTTAAATATCCTTTTCTGATACATCATCGACACGTACAGGGGCGACATATCGAAAAGTGTCTCTGAAGGTTAACCGTAACTTCAAACTGGGATAGGATAGAGTTGTCTTTCTGCCGATGCATGGTAACTTTGGGAAAACATAATAATATATTTGAGTTAACGTTCATCTTGATCCAGCGAACTAAAATAAATCCACACTGAGCAGATAATGGTTTACGTTTTAAAGTCGGTTCATTTTATTATTGCATAATATTTCTCCAAGAACAAGCGATGCATGTGCAATAAAAACATGATACTGCATTTCACTTTGTTTATAATTTTAATAGCTTCAAAAAATTACTTAGGATGTTGCTATGTTGTAAAGCTTATGTGATCATGTGTAGTTTTCATTCACTGCACCATAGCAAAAAGATTTATGGATGTCCAAATCTTTCTGTGTGTTGTACATCTTGTCACAACTCGCACAAACAAACACATTCATCGGCGTGTATCGTGTTGAGGCAGGGCTCGCGCGTCCAATGTCAAGCCCACCCCTCCCCTCATGGGCTGTTATGTCCAGGGTAGGGGCAGGAGAATGTTCCCATTCGTGTTTCTGTGTGTGTCCTTCCGCTAGTCTTCCTAAAATGCTTGCTGCATGTTTCCCACTAGCGGCAAGTTTCGCACTCAATGAAGTACTCTGTTTAGCCTCAGCAAATCTTGAAGTTGTTGCCTTTGTCCTTGTCTTAGCGGACTGGGCTCTAGGTTTCTCAGGTGGGCGAGGCTGTATTTGGTTTGACATGTAGTGGTCTGAGTACGACCGCTGTCCTTCTCTTATAGCAGATGCATGGCGCTTGTTAGAGACATTTGAGTTTTCTTCATAAAAATTCTGCACAGGAGACCTGTAAACGAGAAACATATTCAACGGAAAAAGCTGTATTAGTTGCACTAATTAACTGAAAAGATAACCTATACCCTTTCAAAACAAAGAACAGTAAAATATGGTGGTAAGAAAAAACTATTCACTAAAATAATTTTAATCTAATTCCAATATTGTAGCGAACTTGCTTTTGAGATCTATAATGGTACTTTCAAAATAAACAGGCGAACAACAAAAAGACAGCTAAAAAAAAATCAACAGAACCTTCTATGTAAATCCCCCCGTTCTTCCATTAGTCCAGATTCGTCACTATGTTGTTTCCACAAGGCAACAGGTTCTTGTACCTGAAAAATATCAAGAAGTTTTGGCGATTTTAAATGAAAGTGGGAACACTGACAGAGAACGAGAGAACAATGGGCCTAACCAGTAGGAGCACGTGTCACAAATGAGGGACACAGTACTAAGGCATTTACACCAGCCAATCAGAACAACGACGACAGTACAAGGAACCAATAAGAACGTAGGGAAAATTCACAAGACCAATGCAAAGCGCGGGAAAACAAGACGCGCGTGATCACGTAATGAGTGGATTGATTGGTAAAGATCACGATGATTTAGTCGAGTAAAAGGACGAGAGTTTTAACGAATCACAAAGAATATTTAACAAAAACCGAAAAGGAAGAATTGCTTGTTTTTCCACTTTTCAAACAAAAAGGCCCTCTATCGGGTTTTATCATCACAGCGCGGCAACAGCAACCAAGAAAAACCAACTAACAATACACGTGCAGCTACTAAGGGAAGGTCAGGGTATTTTTCGGAATATGATAAAGTAATCGGGTGCAACATTCTTCGTACACTTATCGTAACAAAGCCATTCGCTCTGTCGAAGGACGAACGCTTGAAACATCAGCTTAGATACTCATTACGGTGCCGGCCAATTTACATTATCAACCCAGTTGACACAACACCAAGTTATCTCATTTCAAAAAATTCAAGGAAAATCTTTGTGAGTTCGTCGAGGGAGATGGACTCTGATAATACTGTCATCCACTTACTTTCTTCTTTGAGATGTTTTCTCGAGCATTCATCAAGAAAGATATAGACTTCCTCAACTTTTCATTTTGTTCTTCGAGGGTCATAATTCTGATATTGTTGGCTATAACTTGTCTCTCCATATCTTTAGCTACTTCGGCTTCTGAGGGAACTTCCCCATTAAACATCACCTCTTTGTCTGACAAGGAAGATTTCTGCTGTTTGGCATCAATGGATGGAAATTCTACCACGAGTTGAAGTTTTTCTTCGCTTTCTTTTAGCTGCTGTTCAAGGTCGTTCGTCTTTGCCTCAAATTCTTCTACTTCTTGCAAAAGTGTTTCCTTTTCAAGTCTAAGTTCTTCCAGAAGGTTCTGTGTACAAACAGAAAGAATGCTTAGAGTTATGTTCCAAGGTTTTAGATTTGAACCAATGCCAATATATAATTGTAAAAGAGGCGCATTTTTGAATAATTTTGTATATGACCACGAATAGACAATTCTCCCTTTCTTTATTTCCCCTTTTTCTCATGACGACACCCTGAGGCGTGTGAAAATACCAGCTGCAGAGAACTAGCCATTCATAGAGAATTACTCTGAACAACTAGGATTAACTGGCGATCAACAATTGACCAGAGCCACAAACAAAATGCCAAAAATTACCTGCTTGGAATCAAGTTCTTCAGAGAGCTTCGTCTTTTCAGTTCTCAAATCTTCCATCACTCCTTGCAGTTCGTGTCTCTCTCCTTCTGCCTCTAGCACTCTGTCCCTCAACTCCTCGCATTCATTGTCCAGATTATCAACTCTTTGAAGAAGTGCATCGTGTTTGCTTTGTAAAGCCTGAGGAGGCAAATGAAATTTATGTTAGCAGATAAGACTCTCTAACAACGCTGCTACAGCCTTATTTCCCTGTTTCTACACTATCAAGTAATATACGAGCGCAGGTTTTCTTTTTAGTCCTTCTAAATGAGACAGTAGTTATCACAGGTTACCCTTCCCGTATTTTATCATGCTTTCCTAACAGTTTCCTGGTATTTGTTCACTTTTCTTGGTGTAGAGGGCACTGTAAAGTGCTTTGGCCAGAAACCCAGAATATTGCACATAAAACAGGCCATGGTGGAAAACCAGAAATTTCAAATACAGAGCTCCCAACCAAAAAACTGAGCCAGTGCTTCTTTGATATTGAAGTTCAGCCCCGCATATCGGATCATGTTATCCTCAAGAGTTTTGAAACATCCTCTAACAGCCTTGATTTCTAATATCAATTCTCACATATAATCCAGGCAAAAAGTTAGAGAGCTACACCTACTTGTTGTGGAGCTAATCTTATACCACCTCCACTTATAATAAAAACTTTATCTTACTTGTTCATGTTTCTCCAAGGTCTTGTTCTTAGCCTGCGTTTTTCCCAGTTCAATAGAAGTGTTTTTGAGTTTCACTTGTAAGTCATCCATCTCTACTTTTAGCTGTTGTACTTCAGACTCTACCACCGTTAACCTTGCTACCTCTTTAGACTCCTTGTCTAACTCTGTTAACAACTTGTTGTTTTCTTCACCTGAAAAAAAAAAAAAAAAAAAACAGCTATGAAATAAGCAACAAGAATAAATTTTCTGCATTGTCCTGTGTCAACTGGCTATATCTCATTTCCTTATTTCAAAATCAGGCCTCTCATTGGCTGTTTAACTGGTGGTAAATTAATGTTATTTGTGTTTACAAACTTACCAAGGGTCTTAACTGTCTCCTTGTACTTCTTTTTCTTTTCCTCCAGTTTGAGCACCATACCCTGAAGGACATCTTTTCCCTTCATAAGGTCATTGTTCATTTTTTCTGCATCAGATAGCAGCAGATCTTTCTCAGCAACAACTTGTTTAAGCTTCTCTTTGAAGTCTACCTCCTTCTTTTCAACTTCACTGTCCTTATCCAACAACTGCTTTTCCAGATCTTGGATTTGCTTTTCCAGTTGTGCACAAACTTGTTTTGACCTACTAAGTCTATCTTCCAGTGGATTTATCTGTGCATATAAATTATCCAAGTGATCAGTAATTCTAGCAAGATCTTGGCTTTGTTCAGATGCCCACCTTGATACATCAGCTGCAGCCATCAAGGATTGTCGCAAGAGTTTTTTCTGCTTTGCCAGTGAAGATGGAAGTCCTTGAGATTCACATACTTTAATCACCATGTTACCAACTTCAATAAGATTTTGTTGTGTTCTAGCACAAGCTTCACATGGAATAAATGCAGTGTCATAAGTCTGTGTTGATGACTCTTGACAAGTCTTTGCATGAGTAACATCTTCCACAGCAAGAGTAAGCTCCTGGGAGGGTGTAGAACTTTCTAGAGATAACTCCTCAGATGGAGAGAGAATGAACTTCACAGAAGTTCTATTAGCACTTTGGCTTTCAACTTTTCCTTGGACAACAGAAGATTTGCCTGATTTTTTATCTGAAGCTTGCTTCAAGAGTTTAACCTCACCCCGCAGATCTGTTATGGTGTCTTCCATCTTTGACATTGTTTTGTTTTTGGCTTTGCTCTAGAAAACACATAAGTTGAATCACCATAGGTAATCAATATCTCATTTCTCTTTTACCAAACAAAAGATAAAGCAGATCAGTACAAAAAAAAAAATGTGAGAAAGGAAACACAAACTATCATAAAAAATAACTAGCACTTGTTCATTATGGACTCTACAAAAATTATGGATTATCATGATGCAAGAACTTCTGAGAATACATCTTCCCATCTAATGTGATTCTGAAAATTCATCAAAGACAATATTTCACCAACTTTTGAATGTTTCTCACCTCAGTCTGAAGTTTCTGGATGGTTTGCTGAACATGGACAAGTTTGTTCCAAAACTTTTTGGCTACAAGTCCAACAGACATACTGGAACCTAATATTTTACCACTACTTGGCCTCCCATCACATGAAGTCAGCAGTTGGTCACTGAACTGAGCCATACATTGCAGCAAAAGAACAAGTCTGTTGAGAAAAGTCATCTTCAGATCATATTTACACCCTTGAGATTATGACAAACTTAATCTATCCATTACTGAATTCACATGGGAATAACTTGATGATAGTAACAATTATAATAATAATGATAACAACAATATTAATATAATGATAACATTATCATCATTAAGATGAAACAAACAACAATTTTAATGTATAGTCGGAAAAAAATCCAAGTCCCAGATGGGATTTGAACCCAGGACCCTCAATGACCTAGTCAGATGCTCTAACCGCTGAGCTACCAGAGACTCTGTGGTGAGCAAGGGTCAATTTGTGGGTCTCAACTGGAACTGCATCTTGCTGCTACACAGCCAAGTATTGACCAGCGCATGTGAAACTCACTAAAAGTATCATGCAGTCACATTAAAGCATATCAAGATGCGGCCAACCAACCTCCAACCTCCATCATTGTTACTATTATTATCAATTTTAACATAAATAATATTTTTACTGGGGGCTGATAACCAGCCTATATCTATATAAAAAAAATAACCTTAGAAGTAAACGTCTCTGATGACATTTTGATGAAACATGAGTCTAGACTGTTAAGAGGGGAAACAATGTTAAGTCTATTCAAATTCAATTCCCACCTTCTGAGGTATTTTCAACAACTCTCACCCTAAAAAATAAATAGATTTCATATGGCTGTGCATCTTTTAAGTAATACAGGGCTCAGTGTGGTCTAGCAGCACCCAGTGGCCCCTGGTGCCTTTCTTTTGCTCTTGGACGACTCAGAAATCTTAGTTTTTGCATAAAAAGCAAATGCAGGGCACCCTGAGTTTCACAGTTTCAGAGCACTGGACTCCCTTCAATTTTTCTAAGAGTACAGCCTAGTAATAGATCAGAGATGATGTCAGAATGTGGTAAGAGCAAAAAAGTGTCACACAAGGTGTAGCAGAGTGGGTCATTGATCTTCTCACCACATTGTGATGTCTTCTGTGATCTATTATATTACAGACCCACAGCAACATGGAATCTATTTGTTCTATATGATGAAAACCAAACTGTTGTTAATGGTAACATCATCTATGACCCTGTCCTCCATTAGCTCATAAGAAGAACCCAATCAAAATACATGTATAATTAATGTATAATACTCATTGTATACCTGTCAATAAGAAGTTCAAAAAGAATTATGTGTGACAGTTTACAGTGGTCATTATCACTGGAATATGAATATCTCTCCAACAGTTCATCCATATCTAACTCAGAAGCTATCTTATCTGGATATTTCCACGAAAGACTTCTAATGTGTCCTACTCTGGATAATAAATCCATTACTGTCGTTTGAACATCATTGATGTCTTGTTTCAAGCTCCCCAAACAAGCTTCACTTCCAAGTAAATGAGCCATTGTACCAAACGCTTTACCAAGAAGCGAAGTTCCTCGCCTACAAGTGAACTAAACCTCGATTGAAACGAAAGTAGTTTTTTTTAAATGAAGACCAAAAAAAGATTTGACAATTTAACTTATTGATGTGACAACTTGATCGACGAGCTAATTGTCGCCGACACGTTCTTTTAATGTATTTGATCCTTCCGATTGTAGCTAAGCAACTTTTACGCGATTATCACTGCTTGATATCTTCTTCAAGGTTGATCAAAATAAGGGAATCGTTGCAGACGTACTCTAGAAAATTCAAATTGTCGAAATTAATAAGTCAAGACCATTTCGACCACTTCACAATCAGCTACGGATCTTTCCACGACGATAGAAAGAAAATGCAAGGCATGAGAACTCCCGAATACTACGTGAATAATGTAATTAAAGCCTGAACTTATTTTCAAACAATCGCACATTAAAAACTCGGAGACAAATATGCTCACAAGGACGCCATATTTGCTTTGGTTACAGGAAATGTACCATGATGCAATGCTTCAGCAAGGAATGTTGAGGCACTGGTTACCAGGCTAGCATGTCTCACGGTTCAACATGGCGGACGAATCCGAACGATTCGTCTGTCAGTGTTTTTTCACCCATAATATTTTTCTGAAGGACTATGAAGCTCATGTTATCTACAAAAGTAAATTACAATTAGAGAACGAGTTTCGGAAGGTATGTGAAAATTTGCCTTGGTCTCGGGTTTTCTTGCAGAGTCACTTGAAATATATTTGCCTTGTGTTTCAAATTTGAAGTAAATCTAAGACTTTTATTTATTTATTTTTTTTCATTTATTAACATTCATTTTCGTTGTCTGAAATCAAGGGGAATTAAGCCGTACTTTTTTTTAAATGGCAGGTGCTTTATCACAGAGGCTGTAAAACAGATGAACAGTGGTTAGCAGTGCTCGAGCAAGTAATTCAAATGCATCTATTTCAGTGATTTCTTTAATTTTGTTCGGGACGACTTATTATGACATGTTGCGGGACCCATGTAGTATCCCGTATGCACCCACCATAGCTTTTGTTCTGTAACCAGGTGCTTTTGAACGTGATAGTTGTTTGAACTCTCCATGTTCGAGTGTTCTGTCGTTTCGTCTGCTGAATGGCTTATTGTAACAATTATAACACTTTACCTGCACATTTTGCAGAATTACTTACGCCCTGGAACTGATAAAAACATACAGTGTATGACAAGAATGTTTAGAATGCTTTTAGAAATTCTGCTAAGCAGGCTATATGTACCAACATAGCTCCCTTTTCGAATAAACCAAAAAAAAAAATGAGAGGCTTTAATGCTCAATATTAAGATTAAATTTATTTAGATGGAGAAGAGTTATCAGTGGAGGTATTTACAATCCAGTGAGAATATAAAATTAAAAACTGCTCCAATAAAGGCTTTTTTGGATGCTTAGGTAGAAGATGAAATAAAAAGAAGGAAAAAGCTAGGTAGAGATTCACAAAGGAGAAAAAAGATGATCTCATCTGATTATAAACCATTGCATCCTGATGTGTACATTTTACAAGTAAGGAATATTTTTTGATTAATATTAGAATCATGTTCAGACTAGAAATTTAAATTGCAAGGAAACAATCTTCATTTATATCAGTGTTGTTTGATTCAGTACTTTGGACATTTGGACATTATTTATTTATTTAATTATTTAATAGCATCGCCGACCGGCAGGGACACCGCAACAGCTTGCACCAATTACTGTGGGCCCAGTAAACCCACCCATCCCACCCCAGAGGAGGACATCCATTACACAGTAATCTCGTGCGTGGGAAATTAACATCTCCTGCCCCTAACCCT